TTTTTATGATATTTCGAACGCCTCGTGTTTATGTCATGTGAGAATTAAAATTCTCACATGACAACACTACTCATTTTCAAAACATCTCAAAATTTATTAAAGAATAATATTAAAATTATATAAATTCAAAAGAAATAAAAATGTAAATATCTTGTAATTTTTTTGTACATCTAATAAATACTGCTACTCAATTGCCGTGCGGCTCAGACACCTGGCCATTTGAGGCCAAGAAAAACAAACTAGTGTCATTACAGCTGTCGCTTCCACGAAAGGGTATGGCAAACCCAAACCCTAAAGATTAAGATTAGATAGATTATTGAGATAGTTCGCAGATTCTTAGGCCGTTGCGATGCGATACGAGCAACTTATAGCCACTCGAAAATGGCACAACTCAGAATCTGCTCAGTTTAAAATTATTATTTTGTTTGTTTAATTGATGCAAACAATCTCATTAACATGATAAACGTTGTTTACATATAAGCCTCGATAGTTTGTTTTTAAAATATATTTATTATAATAATGAAAATAAATTTACTAAATCATCATAATCAGATACAATATCTGTTCTATAAATATCTACTTTCATATGTTCAATATATTCTTTTTTACTTCCTTCAACAGCTAACTTTCTTATATTTTCACTAATATTTTCTGTATATGTTAAAATTATTTTTCCTTCTCTTGATTCAAACAACTTGTTTAACCTTATGAACAGATCCTTGTTTTTCAATTCTTTGTTCTTGTTTTCTAGATTCCAACCGTTATTTTTCCATTTTGGTAAATACAATTCATATAAATTTATAAAATACGAACTATCAGTTCTAATCTCTAAGACATCAATTCTGTTTTCACAAGATTCTAAAGCACGGATTACAGAGATTAATTCAGCAGTTTTCTTATCTCCTAAAACCTTCTCTGATATAGATTTGTTCTCGAATGATACTCCAATTCCTGCATTTGAATCGATAAAACAACTTGAGATTTCTGCTACGATCTTATTTAGACAAGTTAAAAATCTGTTCTTGAATATGTCTTTCTTTTTACAATATTGGAGATAAAGATTTGCATCTTCTTTATTAGAAAATTTCTTGTATTGTGCTACTAAATTATCAACAATCTGTTCTTGACATTCCTTCTAACTCATGTAAATACCTGGTTTTTTTTCTATGTGTATAGCATAATAAGTTTGATCCATTGTTAAATTTAAAAATAAAGTAAATCTATCCTTTATATTGTTATTTATTCAG